TGAAAAATAAAATTCTATGAAACCTTCCTTGGCTTATTTTAATGTTAATAATAGTAATAGTAATAATACTTCATTACATATATGCTACACATAAGACATGATAAACTTTTCTTTAGTTACTTCTACACTTGTTATAATTAACTAGAGGCCTAGTGCACGAGTTTGTGCACCAGTAGGGTCTCTCAGCCTGGCCTGCGGGATCAGGCTGAAACTGGCTCTCTGACATCCCCCGAGGGGTCCCAGATGGCGAGAGGGCTCAGGCCAGGCCGAGGGACCCAACTGGTGCACGATCAGGGCCAGAGAGGATGCGGGAAGTTGGCCAGCCAGGGAGGGACCGCAGGAGGGCTTCAGGTTGTGTCCGGCCCATCTCGCTCAGACCCAATCGGCTGGACCCAGCAACAAGCTAACCTACCAGTCAGAGCATCTGCCCCCTGGTGGTCAGTGCACATCATAGTGACTAGCCGACCAGTCAACTGTCTGCCCCCTGGTGGTCAGTGCACATCATAGCGAGTGGTTGAGCCGCCTTAGCATATCATTAACATATTATGCTTTCATTGGTTGAATGGACGGCTGGACACTTAGTATATTAAGCTTTTATTACATAGGATAGACTACATGAAGGGTTTTGAACTTTCCTGTAGTCATGTAGGGGTCAAGATGAATTTTAAGTGGGGTAATGACATGTTTTGATTTGCATTTTTCCAAGCACTTCAGCTGTTGTGTGGGAAATGGACCAAATGGTATAAAAGTATAGGTGATAATGCTTTGGATTAGTAGGAGTAATGCAACCAGTAATGATATGCCAGGTCCCATGCTAATCACCCTATATAATAAAAGCTTAATGTTCTAAGTGTCCGGTCGGCCATTCAACCAATCAAAGTGTAACAGGCTAATGATATGCTAAGCCACTCAACCACTCGCTATGACGTGCACTGACCACCAGGGGGCAGACTCTCCGACCCATAGGTTAGCTTGCTGTTGGGGTCTGGCTGATCAGGTCTGAGCGAGACAGGCTGAACACGCCGGGGAGCCCTCCTGCAGTCCCTTCCTGGCTGGTCAATCTCCTGCATCCCTCCCCGGCCCCGATCGTGCACCAGTGGGGTCCCTCGGCCTGGCTTGTGCCCTCTTGCAATCTAGGACCCCTCGGGGGATGTCCGAGGCTGGTTTCAGCCCAACGGCGGAATGACCAGTTGCTATGAAGCGCACTGACCACCAGGGAGCAGACACTCAATGCAGGAGTTGCCCCCTGGTGGTCAGTGTGCTCCTACAGAGGGAGGGCCACTCAGCCAGAAGCGGGGCTCATGGCTGGCAAGTGCAGCAGTGGTGGCGGGAGCCTCTCCTGCCTCCACAGCAGTGCTATGGATGTTGGACATCCCCCAAGGGCTCCCAGACTGCGAGAGGGCACAGGCCGAAATGAGGAAACACCCCCTAGAGGGCACGGATTTTGTGCACTGAGCCTCTAGTGTTATATATATAATCTCAATGAATCTTCACAATAAACTTGTTGGTATTATTGTTCCCATTGTACAGCTAAGGCTACTAAGACTTAGAAAAGTTAGATAAATTGCTCATAGTCACTCAGTTGATAAGTGGTCACACAGTTAATAAGTGGTAAAACCAAATAAAAGTCTGGTTTGCTTAAAACTTAATGTTTTAAAATATACATTTACTTTTTAATATTCCCTCCCCCATCAGTTTCCTTGAGAGTAGCAACTACAGTTACATATCCCAGCACTTAAACGCTTTCTGAATTAAAAATGAATATATTTATATTTAAGTAGTTTGGAAATGTCTACATGGAAAAATTTTGTAGGTGTGAAGCTCTGTATTTATTTAAAATTAGTAATACCAGATTAAAATTCTAAAACTTAAAATTTTTACTAATTATTTATGAACCTTTACATAATTAATCTGAAAGCAAGATTTTACTGTTTCTCACTTAGAAAGAAAAATGTTTAAACTTACTATCTCCCTTCAACAGGTTCAATGTCCAGGCTGTTAACTCCATTGCTGTGGATCCTTTCAACATCTCTGTCTTTGTTTAACTCCAGTCCCAAAACCCTTTAAAAAAATATATAAAAATTAAATAAGGGGGGGGGGGGAGATAAAATTAAACAATAAGAAAATAATTCAAACATAAAAAATGTCCTTAATCTTACTAAGAGTACAGATAGTACAAAAATCACAAGTAGGTCCTGGCCAGGTGGCTCAGCTGGTTGCAGCATCATCCCACACGCCAAAAAGGTTACAGGTTCACTCTGATCAGGGCACATACCTAGGTTGTGGGTTCGATCTAGTGTTTCTCACATCCATATTTCTTTCTTTCTCTCTCCCTGCTTTCCTATTTCTCTAAAATTAATAAAGACATATCCTTGGGGGGTAGGGGAGACTTAAAAAATGCAAGTAATGCTTAAGTCTCTTTCTACCAGACATCCAAAAATTTTTATGGATTTTTAAAGACCTTACACAAATTTTTAAAATACCAAAATACTATGTATTTTGTATATAATACAAAACAATTATATGTAAAGAATTTTTCCTGAAGTACTATCCTAAACTTAATATATATAGGTTTTAAATGTAGGTTTCTATGTTACAAGATCTGTATATTACACCATGTGCTCACTACTCAAGGTCAAATCTTCTACTGTCACAATATATTAGGACCCTCTTAGCCCCTAACCCCTTCCCTCTGGCAACCACCACACTCCTGTTTGTGTTCATGAGTTTCAGTTTTATATCCCACATATGAGTGAAATCATATGGTTTTAGCATAATGTTCTCAAGGTCTATCCACGTTGTTACAAATGGTGCTATTTCATCCTTCCTTATGCCTGAGTAGTAGTCCATTGTGTATATGTGGCACATCTTCTTTATCCAGTCCTTTAAACTTAATTTAAAGAGTGTATTTTATTAAGTTTTTATTCAGATATTTAGAGACATATTTTCATGAAAATTTAAATTGATAAATTCAGCTGAGGACACCTAGTGGACAAAAGCTTAAATTACAGTATGTTAAATAAAGTCCCATGAGTATTTCTTATGCCTTAAGTATAAATATAAAATGAGTATGTTTAACTCAACAATTAGGCACACTTAAATAAAGCCAATTAAATATTTATAAATAAAATTAATAAGTACTCTCATAAATTAAGATGAATGAAATTTCTGATATTCCATAACTGTAAACCATCATTATTCTGGTCAGGCAATTAAATGAGTTAATACATAAAAAGTGCTCATTACAATGCTTAGATATAATAAGTGCCTAGTGAATGTTAACTATTAAAATTTGTCTCAATCTCTTGCATGTTAAAAATAATTTACATTAATTTAACCAGAATAGTTTTTAAATTCATTATTGATGAATATGATGCTAATTTATATGAAATGTTTACCCCACCAAATTAATCAGTTTTTTTAAAACAATGCAGTGCTAGAAAAGTTTCAAACTGATATTTTTATGGCAGTACTAATAATTTAAAGCATTCTGGATATCATCTTAGCAATAGCAAGTTGATTTAAAGATATACATAGCCCTTTGTCTTCTGGAAGACAGTTTAGCCATAGGTTCACTTGCTACTTCTCTGACCTTGCCCAATAACAATAACAGTTAATATTAAAAACCTGCTATTTAATGACACTGAAATCAGTGGTAATAGTAAGTGTAGTGGTAATCCTAACTGGCAGATTTCCTAGATAGTAGGAAAAGCATTATTAAATGCTTTTACTGAATTTTAAACTAAGATATAAGTAATTTGCCCAAGGTCATTCATCTAATAATTAGCTGAACTGCATCTGAACTCTGACTTTTTTTCCCTCCAGATCACCATGCTGTCCTGACATTTCTGAACTTCCACCAAAAAATAGTTTTTCCCATTGAAATTCCATTTCTTCCATTTTTCCATTTGATGATTATTCAAATTATGACAGTAATATGTGTTTCTTGTAACAAGTAAAATATCAAACAAACATGTGCCAAGGTAATCAATCATCCCTGCCTTGAGTTCTCTTCTAACAATGAGAAACATGGCTTTCATTATCATTCATGTGTTTATTTATCTGGTCAGTCCCCCTGTATATAACTAAGCTCCCATCATCACTACCATCCCCTTCGCCAACAAGGATGCTACTCAGGAGGCTTGGGCTTCGATTTCTGCTCCCCCAAACACCCGTATCGCTTTGAGCTTGTGAGTTCCCACGCTGAGACCACCTCCTCGTGCTCTGAAATATCACCCTGGGCCAACCTCATTCCTGTTTGGAAGCCTACCTCTGTCCAACCTGAAGACTTTAGGACTGAATTGTTTGGGAACTATGAGAGGTTAAAATGAAGGGAAAGTGGGAGGGTAATAAGATAGGGAAACAGTGGTGAGGTGTGTGTGGAAGGTGTGCAAAAAAAAAAAGTTAATGTAGCAAGTCTGAAACTGCTATCCTTAGAAAGGCTTGCTTGCAAGATTGGCCCTTGCCTGGTTTCTGGGATGAGAACGGTTCGCTGTGCCTAAACTATTTGGAGCAAACAACATGCTTTATATTGAATATCTGCTTTCCTTCTGGGAGGCTGGCATTTTTATACATTCTAGTTACATGCGTGTACATACACGGAATTTTGGTACAGGCGCCAAAAGAAGAGTAAAGCCGAGTCTGGTCAGAGGAAAGTGATCGATAATAAGGCCAGAAAGTGTGAGGCAAGGGTAACACACCTACTGGTCCAATTTTTAACTGGCCTATTAGAAAAAAAGAGTAATGTTTTCTATACCTTCGCGTGGACTCCGCTCTTCGTAGGTGAAGAGGGTCGTCCAATCCGGCTTGTCGCGCCGACAAAAACCCTAGCATCCCGGTCTCCTGCGCAAGTAGGTACCCTGGACGCGGCCATGACAGGGCTCGGGGGCGGGGCTCTAACAACGGAGCCTCCCATTGGTAGAACCAAGAAGCCAACTGACGAATGGTGAGCGCCGTTACTGGGAGGGCGTGAGGCAAGTGGGAGTTCTTGGACTGGTGGGCGGGGCGTTCTTGTTACTGTCGCAGCGGATCCGGGTGCAGCTCACGCTGGGGTCTGGGGAGCCGACATGGGTTGGTCTCAGGAGTTGTTCCGCACCGTGTGGAGAGCGCTGTCCAAGGAAGTGAAGGAGCTAGTGGGCACAGACCACTTCGGGAACAAATACTACTATATCCCGGCGTACAAGAACTGGAGAGGTGAGATGACAGCGAGGGCAACGGCGGCGCGATCAGGAACTGGGGGAAAAGTAAGGGCGCCTCGTAAACTAATGCAACGTGCGACACTGTGTAGTCACCTGAGGGGACTGTCCGAGTTCGTTCGCCCCGCCACCCGTTCACCTTAGTGGTTTTCACTGATCGCTTTCGTGCCGCGGCCCGGCGCGGTGTGTGCCCGCCGTCCGTGCGCCGCAGCCTTTGGTCCGCGCGCCCGGCCGGACCCCCGCGAGCTCGGCGCACCCCGGTCTCTCCCCGCGCGGCCGCCACGCGGGCATCTGACGCCCCAGTGTTGGTCCTTGCCTTTGGGCGACGTAGAAGGGGCAAGTCCACGGAGGTCTTTAGCCAAGGTCCTCCGAGCGGCAGAACAGGGGCCTTTCCTCCTCCTGTGCCCCGCTGGGACCGGCCGGAGCGGAGTAACGGAGGGGGAGTATCTTAAGCGCCTCTGCTCGCGTCTGTCTGCGCGTTGACCTTTCTTTCAGTAGCTCGGGACTGTCTCCGTGCGTCACCTTCCTTACAACCCAAACCCAGCAGACTATGTCAGTGCACACTGACCGAGTGGAAAAGAGGTCCCCGCAAGGCCCCACACTACCTTTCCTGCCAGTTTTCACCCCACGGTCCCTTTACAGTAGAGCTCACTTTACAGTACGTGGCTCTAAATCGTGAGGTTTCTGTATAGAAGTCTTGCGAAGTACGTACTTAGTGAAATGTGAGGAATTAGGGGCGTGCCTGTGCGCTGAAATCCCATCACCTAGCGGTAGTCATAACCTCTTCTGTGGGGTTCCCACACCGCGATGCCAAAGATCTTAGGCTTTGCGGTCAAAAAGGCTTGGCTTAGAATTCCAGCTTTGGCATCTAAGAGTTGAGGGATCATGGAGTTATTTGTCCTCCACGAGTCTCAGCCTCTTCACTTCAAAGTTAGAGATGATAATAATGACCATTATATTGAGAAGCAGTAAGACTTACCCCAAATTGTGTTCCATTCATTTCTCATAACTCTTGACAAAGGGAATTGCTTTTTCCTTCCTCATACGGCACATAGAAAGTGCATTCTGTGATTTACCACTCAAAATTTTTTGCCTAGCCTTTTTCTGTAACTTAGTTTAATATTTTAGATGTTTCCCTGATGAGCTGCTAGACTCTTTCAGCGCAAGGAATAGCTCTTAAAAAAAAGAAAAAGTCCACGGAGAGCTTGCGTAGTGAATTCTATGGCAGATTTTAAGCAGAGAGAAAGATACTTCTTTTCTATAAGTTATCAGTAATGTTTAAAAATACGCAAAACATCAGATTGACTTGTAATTGAAGTATAATTTACATTCAGTAAATTTTATACTTTTTGGTGTACAGTTTTATGATTCTTGAAAAATGTTTAGAGTCATGTAAGTAAGGTTGCCACAATCAAAATACAGAACAGTTCCTTCACCCACCGCCCACCCTCCACTCCGCACCATACCCGGCAAATTCCCTCCTACCCCTTAGTGCTTCATTCCCTCACCCCACACCCAGACCTTGGTAACCATTGATCTGTTTTATGTCCCTGTGGTTTTGTCTTTCCTAGAATATCATTTAAATGGAATTATATGGGTGTAGTCTTTTGAATCTAGTTTATTTCACATAGCACAATGCAGTTGAGTTTCATCTTGTGTCAGTTCCTTTTTATTGCTAAATAGTAATTCTACTCTTACTTTTTTTAATACTGAGCTAAAGCTGATGTTCCCAAAATGAAATTGGTTGGCTGGAAAGGCAGAGATAGCAGTGGATAGAAGGTAACAGTGATGCCTGCTATTTATTTATTTTACATTTTATTTTTTATCCTCACCTGAGAACATGTTTCCTTGGTTGTCCTATAATGGCCTTATTTATTGATTGATTTGTTTTCTTATTTTTGCAGTTTGTATAAATTGAGCTTCTTTACATTTTGATTGCTGATGTTTTTAAGCCTCTTGTAATTTATGGGTTCTCTCTTTATGTTGATTCCCCCCTCCCTGCCCAAAACACAAACCTCTGCTTTTTTAATTAGTGGATGTTAGAAAAAAGCTACTTCTTTATTTTTTTAAAAGGTATTTTAAATATATTTTTATTGATTTCAGAGTGGAAGGGAGAGGGAGAGAGAGATAGAAACATCAAAGATGAGAGAGAATCATGGATTGGCTGCCTCCTGCACGCCCCCTACTGGGGATTGAGCCAGCAACCCAGGCATGTGCCCTTGACCGGAATCGAACTCAGGACCCTTAGTCCCCAGGTTGATGCTCTATCCACTGAGCCAAACGGGCTAGAGCAAAAACTATTTCTTTAAAAAAAAATTGTATTGACTGATTTTAGAGAGGACAGAAGAGAGTGAAACATCAGATTTATGTTTCACTTATTTATGCATTCATTGGTTGATTCTTATATATCCCCTGACTGGGGATCTGCAATCTTCGTATATCAGGGACGATGCTCTAACCAACTGAGGTACCAGAACAGGATGCTACTTGTTTTTTAAAAAATAATGGCATTAACCCATTCATATTTGTTGTAATAAGTGGTAAACTTAGTGTTACTTTAGTAATCTTGATTTTTATGTTTTTTGTTAATTATGTTCTCTTATTCTTGACTACTCTCCTTAGATGTGTTTTACAGCACAGCCTCAATTTTACTTGAAATTGGCTATTTTTATCAAGTGAGGTCTGAGTGAATGCTACAGCCTGTGTCTTCCTACAGGGCTGTGATAGAATTTCTCTGGGAGAACTGTACTTAGTATTTAGGATGCCTTCACTTTCAGCCTCTGCAAATGGGAATCTTAAGTGTCAGTATCAAGTCAGAGTTGTAGTAGCCTTTGAGAAAGGGGGATGGAGCTCACCGGGATACTTAGCACATACTATTGTTAAGAGTCTTTTGATTTTCTTTTAACCTTATTTTGTGACATCTTACAAGCAGTTCATATTAGTGATAGCTAGAACTCCCTGTGGGGGCACTGGTGGTATTTCCAAATTCCTTTGACTTGACTCTTACCACTTATTTGCCCTTGCTCTCAGTCCTGCTGCTCTAAGCGTAGGATTTTCTCAGTACTTCTTTTTGAGAAACCCATATAGATTCTTTCCAGTGTAGCCTGTATGTCTGTGCTGATTCACAGGCCAGTCAGCACTGCTGAGTTTGCCTTCTATCTCATCCTGTATCATTTATTGTTTTTCTCATGTGACAGATATTTATTCAGCACTTCTTTATGCAAAATATATTCATTCTATGTATCTTAGATTTATTGGTCTTAGTTTCTGACCTATTAGTACCTTTATCTGTTTCACAGTTTAGCTATATACCCCCTCATATAGTACTAGAGGCCCAGTACATGGATTCATGTACTGTGGGGGCTGTGGCCTGCGGGGATCCACCTGCTGTGGAAGCGCTGCTCATCCTGGTCAGCCACATGGTGCTCCCGCTGTGGGAGCGCACTGACCACCAGGGGGCAGCTCCTGCGTTGAGTATCTGCTCCCTGGTGGTCAGTGTGCATCATTGCGACTGGTCGACCAGTCGTTCTGGTCGTTCCACCATTTGGTTGCTGGGCTTTTATATATATAGATAGATTCTTTAGTAAACTCAATAAGATTTGGGAAGCTAAATAACATAAACATAAATCAGTGGCTATTTTAGACTGAAGTTTGCATATTTAATTTGAAACAAATTAGAAATATATTTTCTTCTCCATTTTGTTCTCAACATAGCCTCCAATCTTTTTAGTAATGCTTACATTAATGAAAGATAGCATACATTCAGTGTGAACTCTGATTATTTCATGTATCTACAACAACCATATAACTAGGTATTATTATCCTCATCTTAAACATGGGTGATTGTTTCGTTCTGAATACTTAAATGAGAGTGATGTATGCGTACCTGGGTACAGAGTAGTTACTCAAAAAACAGCTGTTAAATGAATTGAGATATTTATGGACCCAGAATTATAAAAATAAAAACAAAAATATTTTTTAAACCACAGGAAATGATAAAGTTGTTTTAGAAAATCTTAAAACAGGCGATTAAGATAAATAGATAAATATTTTAAATTCTCACCTGAGGATATGATTTTATTGATTTTTTTTAGAGAGAGAGGAAGGGGAGAGAGAGAGAAACATCAATATGAGAAAGAAACATCGATCGGTTGCCTCCTGTATGTGTCCGGAATAGGAATGGAACACACAGCCTTGGCATGTGTCCTGACCAGGAATTGAACCCACAACCTTTTGGTGTACAGGACCACACTCCAACCAGTTGAGCCACCTGGCCAGGGCAAGGTATATTTTTATTTATGATAAATAGGCCAAATTATTCTTCAGAGACTAAAAGACTCTCATGTCTTTTCCATAACTTTTCTAGTGTGATTCCTATTTGGACTTAGCTTAGTCAGTGACCTTCTAAGTTTAGTTTTATTGCTGGCATCAAACTTCCGTTAAGATACCCAATCTAGTTTTTTTTCCTTTTACGATGAACATATCATCTGATAATTCAAAACTTGCATCATCCACTGTTATATGTACTTATTTAGCTGTTTTTGATGATGTCACCTCAACCTATTTGTATTTAGTATTTAAATATACTAAAAACTTTAATAATTTAATATTCAATTAAGACATAGTTATTAAGGCCCTAGCTGGTATGGCTCAGTGGATAGAGCATTGGCCGCAGACTGAAGGGTCCCTGGTTAGATACCTCAGTTGCAGGTTCGATCCCTGGCCCTGGTCCAGGGGTGTGTGGGAAGCAACCAATCAATGTGCCTCTCTCACATCGATGTTTCTCTCCCTCTCCCTTCCACTCTCCCTAAAACTCAATGGGAAAATATCCTTGGGTGAGGTTAAGCAAAAAAACAAAAACAAAAAATGACATAGTTATTAAGAATTAGACAAATTAAATGGTCAAAATTATTAAGAAGGTGTGTCTTGTTTCAGTGGGTAATTGGAAGATCCTGATACAGCTCGATTGAATGTGATAATCTTAACATTTAGGAAATA